CTCAGGGGATAGAGCGTTTGCCTTCCAATGAGGTGAACCGGGGTTCGATCCCGGCGATGGCTGGTCGATGCGAATTCCGCATCCGGCATGCACCGGCCACAGTGCTGACGTGAAATATCCTCAGTGGTAGACAGATCATGGGTTAGAGTCCCCTTGCCATCAGGCTAACCGTGGGAGGTTCTCGTGGTCTTCCTCTCCATGTAACGCAAATGCGGGTTAGTTCCAGTAAAAAGTCCTCCACGAAGGCAAATTTCTCCCAATACTTGATCCACTGACTTCTGTATTGGGTTCAAAATTACAAGGTTACGTAGCTGAACATCAGAAGTCGTAAACTCAAAAATTGGGTCAGCTGTTAAACGACGGTTATAAAATAAAATATACTTCAAATTACTTATGGAGGTAAAGGAGAATTTGCGATGAGAAAAGTTTCTCCCGTGGTCCCCTTAAACAACGTACTCTTAGTGTTCTTTTAACACGTTGACTGCCTCACGCGTTTATAGTGAAATCTCCTGCAGGTCACGAGTACTGCTGTATGAAGCGTATTCTGCTAAGTACTCCCACAGATAATTTAATAAGGCGAATCTGGTGGTCACAAGAATAATATCTCGCTTCGTTTGTTTCCATGGTATCATGTCTGTTTATTTGCGCCTGTAGCTTCTCATCTATTTCTCCTTTCGCCACTTTACACGATCAGTTTGAATCTTTTTCGAGTTAAGAGGAGTATAGCTTAAAATCTTTATCCTAATTCGGTGAATTTTTGAAAAATCTATGCCTTAATGAGTTCAATAGCAGTGAAAAGAAAACTTTTACGAGGCTCACAAAAATGTTCTTAATAAATCATTTTTGTATTATTTTTATAACAATTCAAAAGTTTTGTTACTTCCTGTGAAATATATTTTAAAAAAACATACGAATATCCTTTGCAAGTAGTCAAATAAGCGACGCGGTCCGATCAGAAACTTTGCTGTCACTCGAATATGGGTGACGCAGCAGTCAACGTGTTAAACAACAAAGCACCTTTGATTGCAGGGAAAATATAGAAAAATTGAAAGAACGGTTGTCACACGGCACCTGCAAGTTTGAGAGTCTAATTAAACCTGTTTTGTTGTTTATTTTATATGCTTTTCTTTCAAGTAATTTGTCAATTATCAATACTTTTTTTTTCGTTGTTTAAATTTAATTCACCCTCTTTAATCTGTACACTTCTTTATTTTACTTTTTTTATAAGGATTCTAAAGATATAGTTTAATGGTAATCTTTACTGATCATCTTAAAATCCATTCAATTTGGTATGCAAAATAAAGTCTACCATTTAAATTGCTAATTTAATAATAGTCACAAGTATAGATTGAAAATGATTAAAAAGAATTATAAATAATAAGATCTAACACAACAGATATAAAAAAAATTTACAGTACAACTTACTTGCATCCTAAAATGATTTTTCAACTTCCAGTAAGAGAAAGACTAGTACCTTCATTGAGTAGGCAGTATTTAAATAGTTTTCATAAACACAGAAATAGTAAAAAATCTGTCTAAATATATTCATAGCGGCAATAAATATCCTTCTGTGATGTTAAATTCGTATATTTTTTTCTTAAAATAAACAATATTTAAACAATATATGTGGTATTAGAGTAGTACAACTATGGCTTGTGATAGTCCACAGAGGTAAAGTATGACTACATGTGTATTCATTTTAATTAATTAGTATTTTTTACTTAGAAATCGTTTAAACAAAAACAATTAAAAGAAGTTTTTTTANCCTTTTGTGATGTTAAATTCATATATTTTTTTTCTTAAAATATACAGTATTTAAACAATATATGTGATATTAGAGTAGTACAACTGTGGTTTGTGATAGTCTACAGAGGTAAAGTATGAATTTTTGAGGATTCATTTTAATTAATTATAATTTTTAATCTAGAAATCGTTTAAACAAAAACAATTAAAAGAAGTTTTTTTATCTAACGCACAATAGTCTAAAATAGCGAATAAAAAATAGAACTGTGATAGATTTGTCACATCTATTCTATCTGAGTAAGATTTTTATTTAATTTTGATTATCATAACATTAATATTTTGAACTCTACGATAGAGTTTAAGATACAGATATCAGATTGAATGTTTTAAGTATGAAACCAATGGAGCATGTATCGATAGAATAAAAAACTGATTTGGATTATTTAAAAAAATATACTCAGACAAACTATTGTTCTGATTTGAAACTATAAAATATACCCAGAGTTCTCATTTAAAAAATACTTCAACTGAAGTTTTAAAATTAATCAGCTTAATTTATAAACAACTTTTAAATTTAACAGTAAATATCCCATTGTATTTGCACAAGCTTAGATATTTATTCCCTAAATGCAATTTTAACAAACGTCCCTAATTTCAAATACACATGAAACCAGTTTTGAACAATTGTTTTCTTATACTATGTAAGGGAGGGCCTCTCAAAATTGTATCAAAATAGCTCTGAAACCCTTATACCCCTTATTATTAATTTTCCTTTTAATTTCTCCTTAGTTTTAATCTCTCTTGACCAGTCCCTCATTTTTAATTTCTCCTGACCAAACTTTGGGGACCATGTTTCCCATATTGCTGCATCCTCCTATAGTTTGGGTGTCAGGAATCCGAATCCATCGAAAAGAAGTACTTATTTAGAGAAAGTACGCGTTTCTGTCTGGTTTCGTTACTTAAAACATCGTCTACATTAATTTATTATTGTGCTTGAGATTACCCCTTCTAACCATTAAGAATAAATCCTAAAACGTGAAGATCCGATCATTAAATCAAAAGTAATTCAGGATGGTCCGATTTTTTGGGGGGGCACTTTATAACTGTCGTGGTTAGAGCTAATACGGACCCAGAGGTCCTTGGTTCAAATTCAGCTGAACTCCAACAAACATTTTTCCCACAACATCCATTTTGCTCAAAAATATTTATATGATGCTTCAAATATTATACTGTATTTTCCAATTCGGCTATTATTTGTTCCAGAAGTATTCTAGCACACTTTTGCTGTTTTAATAAATCTTTTTTTACAGTGAATACTTAATTTAAACTTATGCTTAAGAAACAAAAATTTGAAGAAAAAATAATACTTTATTGAAAAGAGGGATCCATCTGTCAACATTATGTTGAATTTAACATAAATTAAATGAAATTTATTTTAAATTATAAATAAGACAACGAAATTTTTAGTACTTGAAATTTAAAACCTCAAATTCTCTCTTTTTATGAGCCTACTATATTAAAAATGCCTAATATTATTGGGTGTATTTTTTTTTGATAATCATATGAAGATAGATATGAAAATGATTTTAAAATATTTTTATCCCTAAATTTCAGGATTGACAGTCAACTTACAGTCTTCTCTCTCCCTCGACCCTTCTAAGGACGTGGGAATTCTGCTGAAAGAGCTGATGCCACGTCGAAGGCTACGTGAGGAGCATGTTCTGCTTACCATTGATTTTCCAGGCACAGACCACGAATTCACGTTTCTTCTTGAAAGAGCGAGGGGTAGAGGTAAGCTCCTGTTTCTTATTTATGTTTCTGGACTTATTGCTGGAATAAAAGCAATTACTCAGGACAATATCGTCTGGCATGGTAAAGAAGAGTAATCCCGAGATACTTGAAAACTATAAGTAATGATATCAGCTTTGGCCTAATGGGAATTATTGGTTAGTGATGGTTGGTGTTTCAGGGAGAAAATTTTTTAAAAAAAATCTAGTAATGATTACATATTTATCAAGATTTTTACATACAAAGTTATTATATAGTTTCCAAGTTTTTCCAAGTTACTATATAGTTTCCAAGTTTTTCCAAATTACTATATAGTTTCCAAGTTTTTCCAAGTTACTATATAGTTGTCAAATATGTTTTTTTTCCACTGAAATTTGAGATGTAGTTTTTATATATCCTAAAAATTGTTATGATGATGAGATCTTAAAGTTTGCCTTTTAAGCATCTAAATTTAAGAAAAATCTAAGATGTTTAATTTAAAATACCTTATTTCCCTCGCACATTTCGCTTTTACTCATAGAGGATGCCACAATCGTCTAGAATCCTTTGAAATATAAATTTTATGGTACAGAAAGCCTTGTAATTATATTCTATAATGATATTCTACATCGCACTGTAATTTGCATTTCCACGTGGATTTGATCCTTGATGGAGAACGGGGGAGTGTCATGCATATCTAATGTTATAAAATGTTACCGATGCAAAAGATGATTTAATAAGGGGAGGACCGGAAATTTAATCGTTAGTTTTTCGAATGATAATCATATCAATAATTGTTCTCATGGTAATCATATTAAACATTGCGTTGTCTTGCAAAATTATTATACTTCTTCAAATTATCCTATTTAAGCTGTTTAAATCAGTTATAAAAACCCAGAAATATTCGATAAAACTAACTATTTATAAATTTAAGTAATTATTTATTAATTAATAAAAAATTTCGAAACACAGTAATTATTTTTTGTGAAAATTTTTTAAACTTCTTTATAAAAATTCTCTTATTAAAAATTACTTATTTAATTTTTATACATCAGATTTTCATTAACACTTAAAGACTTTTAAGTTTTAATTGCATTCAAGTCATTATCTTTTTCTCGTTATTATGCCATCAAAAATAAAATATATATTTATTTTCACTTAATTGTTTTTCTGTATAAAAGAGGTTTCCTGCTCAAAGTCGAATGCATTCTAATTACGGACCTGTATGCGTTTCTTTCTGCACGGAAAACACTTGTACTTTTCACCACTTAAAGCTGTGCCATAGATAAAAATACATTTTCCTGTTATTTACAGTCTTTTCTGTATATTTTGGTCTTATTGACCAAAATTCTGATATATATATATATATATATATATACACACACACTCTATAACAAAAAAATCGACGCACCAAGAAGGAGTTGTCCGATTGAAACGAAAATTGGTGGATAGGAAGACAATGTACAGAATAGTAAATGATTAAAATTTCAGAGCAATTGAATAATTTATTGCAGAGTTACAGTAACAAGTTCAATAAGGTGTTGACCCGCCTCTAGCCTGGATACAAGCTGCCACACGGCGTGGCATAGACCGATAAAGCTCCCGGATGGTCTCTTGCGGTATTTCCTGCCAAATTCGATCCAATTGTCGAACGAGGTCATGAACATTCCGTGCCAGATGTAATCGCCTTCCCATCATATCCCAGACATGCTCGATGGGAGAGAGATCTGGTGATCTGGCAGGCCAAGGAAGAGTTTAACAAGCTTGCAGACAGTTCATAGCAACACGTGCCGTATGTGGTCTGGTATTGTCCTGCTGAAAACTCAGCCCAGGGAGCTGCAAAAGGAACGGTAACAAAACACGTCTTAGGATGTCGTCGACGTACCGCTGTGCATTAAGTGTACCTCTAATGACGACCAAAGGGGTCCGGCTGCCAAAGGAAATGGCACCCCAGACCATAATTCCTTGTTGAGGGTCGGTGTGACTTGCAATAGTGAAGGCAGGATCCCCCCTCTGCCCTGTGCGTCTCCAAACACGTCTTCGATGATCGTCAGGACACAGTTGGATGCGGGATTCGTCGCTAAAGACTATACGTCCCCAGTCAGCATCATTCCAGCCTGATCAAGCGTCGATTTTGCGCGTCTTAGTGCGTTCTTGGTGCGTCGATTTTTTTTGTTATAGAGTGTATGTATATATATGCTTCTGTTTAGATGTGTTTTATTTAATTCATTATAATAATGAGAATAATATGGTGACGTTGACGTTTCGTATGGTTCGTAAGGCTTTTCATCTTCACACTAAAATCGAGTTGTTATCCATCCACGTTTTGTGCAATTTTTGACAAATCTCAAAATTCGTAGATCGCAATTCACGTGTAATTAGTTTGCTGGTTGCAAAAAGCAATTTTTCCATCATTTTATTGCTAAAAAACTAATAGTAAATTGAGATTTTCGATAATTTTTTGACTAGCTAAAATCATGGAATTTCGCTTGGAGCTCTATTTTTTATGACAATACAATTCATTAATTTTTTATCGTCAATCAAATTTTGATTTCAAAGACATCGCTAATAAAATGTGCTTTTTGCTATAAAGAATACACTTACTCACAAAAATAAAATTATAAAATGAAATCGAAACTTCTTTATGAATTTCTTTACTCTGAACAAAGAAAAAATTAATAAAAATTCGATAAATTATTTATATTTTATTTTAATAATTAGATCTAATTCTGCCACGTTAAACCTGTCAGAAAATTCGAACTGGTTTCTTTTATCAATGTTCCAAAAGCGCATTCCTTATTGAATTTGTTGTCTCCAGAAGGAAATAGATCTTACGAGCTCTGTCACCCCCCTTTTCTGCACCGAACTTTGTTTGTTGTTTACCTATAATTAAATTTTCTAATTTTTTCACTTTATAATCAATCCAGTCTTAAGCCATTACTTATTTATTTCATTCAAGAAATAATAATAAAAGAAAAAGCGTTAATTACCTAAATCACATGAGAAAGGTAGTGCCAAAAAGTAAAACATTTTTTTGCCTGTATACATAAATCGCTATCTTATTTTTCATTTCAATTAAAAATGTGTTTATTTCTGATTATTTTTTTAACTATTCCATCATCATATGCGTTTAAAAAAGTGTGGACATTTTTATGGTCTTAGTTTTTCTCTGTATTTTTCTTTCTATAAAGAGTATTTCTTCTAAATCACAATTCAAATAAAACAATTTATACTTCTTTTGCAATTTATAGTTAAGTACGTTTTTATTATACAAGTGCTAAAATTGTTAAATTTCCTTTTTACTTTTTAAAAAAAAGCATATTTAAAATACAAAAAAATCTAGTGAATATCTAATTATTGCAATTGGAATAATTTTATCTTTTAAGGGAAGAAACTAATTTGTTACAAAGAAACCATCATCAAATATTTCCTTGAGTAAGGCAAACATTAACTTCAAGAAACATTACTTTGATTTCTGAAACAAGTATTTCATTTTAAGAACATTTAATAAACTCTCAGAAGAAGAAAAAGAAAGAGACTTAATATTCCTTATTACATGAAGGAAGATATTTATGCTTAAATTGAACGCTTTTAACTAATTAGTCTAATAAAAATTTTTCGTAGTTGTAAAGTTTTACAAATTTATATGCATTAAAAAGTGATAAAGGTGCTCTTTTTATTTGTCACGATATGCATTGCTTGGAGTTTTTTTCAAAAGAACGCATTTATTTGCTTTCATTAAATTAAAAATAAGTTTAGAGTGAGTTATGAAATAATTTAAAAAGTATCACACTTGTGTTTCTTTATGAAATATCCATTCAGAATTTATAGTAAAAATATTCTTTTGAATTTCAACTTGTTTGAAATTTCTTCTAAATGTTTTTATTTTACATTTATTAAATTTGCACACGGTACATCGGAACTAATTATTGAGGCGGTAAATGAGATAAAGTTTACAGAAAAGATCAAAAGAGAGAAAGGAAAAATTATAAAATCTCAAACCATGTTTAATAGATAAGCAACATAAAAATGAATGTGGCCTCTGGCTTTATATTTGAAAAAAAATCAGCATCAGTTTTTTTTTTAAAAAAAATGTTAAAAAAAATAAAAGAAGTTTACAGCACTGCTTGCTGGTGTAAAATAAAAGGTAGAATGAAACTGAAGTGAACGTATTAAAATTTTTTTCTTGAATATTTCAATTTTAAAAANTCATTTATGTAGCACCATAAACTCTTGTATTTCTCGATCGATTGTTAGGTCGACATTTTGTTAGGTCGTTTTAAGTAATAATTGAAGTAGTGTTGAATAACTATTTATACATTAATTATTTATTGAAAAAAAAATTTTTTATCGATATAAAAACTTAGTTACGAAGTAATTATTTTGATTTATTTTTAATTCTTTCTAAAATGGATATAGAAATTTTAAACATGAAAGGTAAGTCCGTCACCACTATGCTATGCTGTAGCATATTGGTGACGGACTTACCTTTTTCATGCTATTATAACTTAGATAAATTGTTTGAAGCTTAAGCTGTGGCTCGAGAGGTGTATGAAGAAAAGCACATATTAGAACATTCGGAAGAGTTTTCCATCTTATCTCAGATGGAAATAATTGTAATACTTCCACGCAGGCAACAGCTAGACAGTGAAAAAACTTGGCTATTATATTGTTTAAAACTAATTAAGGTGAGGAGGTGAGGTAGAAAAATTAGAATATTTAAATTGTGGATTCGGCTTAGTTACTATCAAAAGTCATATGCTGCGCAAGGCATTTTTGAAAGTTGACCAAACTGGTCACCAAAATAAACTATATTCATAATAATTTTCATGTGATAATATTTGTTTAAAGATTTAAAACACTGCTGGTTGGTGCAAAATAAAATGCTGGGAAATAATTGATGGAGCAACTGAGCTGTGGCTCAGTTGCTCCATCAATTATTCGGAACTGAAATGCATTATACAAAAGATTTCTTCCTCAAATATTGTTATTTTAAGTTTTTTTACTCGCACCTTAACTTTCAT